ACAGGGACAGGAGCAGGGACAGGGACAGGAGCAGGGACAGGGACAGGTGCCCGCTGCCGTGGCCACCGCTATGGGGGGTGGCGGTGGCGGTGGGGTCGGGCAGCGGAGGTATCGCTGAGCCTCGGCCGCGCTGGTGCCGCTGGTGCCGCAGTCTGTCACCTGGGGAGCCCCTCAGTGGGCCCGGGGGGGCTGTGGCCGATAGAACCGGTGCCTCAAACACCTGGTTGGGATCTCTGTGGGCTGGGCAGCAGCTCCCCAGGGATGAGCTGCAAGCAGGGGCCGCCGAGGCCCTGCATTAGATGAAGTTCCACTAGGTGTGAAGGGCAGTTGCGTGCTGTGACCTTTCAGGTGACCCCTCCGTGCTCACCCTTCACCTTCCAGAGCTCCCAGCTGGAATGTGGCCCTGGCTCCCAGTTTGGGCTGGAGGGGAATGTCCCTCCTGCTGCCACAGCGCACAAGGAGGCTGCTGGCTGTGCAGGGGAGAAAAAACCTGTGAGGAAGAAAAACCTTCTACAAATTGGGAAGAGCATTCTGCTTTGACAGAATAAAAATAAAACCTGGAATGGGAAAGGAAAGGCATGAAAGAGTTAGTGACAAAGTATCATGTACAGCTGGGGAGATGATGGGTTTATTGGTATTGCGGGGGGGGGGGAGGGAGGGAGAAGCTGAGAGGCAGTGAAAACACAATTTGGCCTAAAATTGAATTTCTCTGATAAGGAATTTCAGAAGCGGCTGCCTCATTCACTGTGCGGCCAAATAATCATATGCGCTTTAATAATCTTTATTTTACAGGAGTACGTTGCCAGGGCAACAGAGTGTAAGCAGGAGCACAGCACCTTGCAGATCACAAAGGCAAAGCTGCAGAAAGAAATTTCAGCGAGTTTCTCTCTCCCTTTTGCAATGTAATGACGACTTATTTTTCATGCACTGATTTAATAATCTTATTGAAAGATCCTTTCCCTGTTTCTCTTATTCTTGTCTGTCTGGGCGCGGACAATGGTAAAAACCTGGAATTGTCAAGCCCACTGGGCTCAGCAAACTAACAGATGTAATATGTTTAGCATTTTTATGTAATTACTTTTTATTGCTATTTTACCCCTACTTCTATTCCTCCCCGGTTAGATGCTGCTTCCCTTCCATTCCAGCCCAATCAGGGGATGGAGAGGGGCTGGGGGAGAGTTGGTAATTGACGGCATTAATCGGGAATTATTAGTGGGACGTGTTTTCAGGGGTGGGGGTTGGGTGCAGAAAGAGACCTTTTAGGAAGGGTGAATTGAATTATGGGCGATGCAATAATGAAGCCTCTGGGCTGTGAGCTGCAGAGGACACTCATCCTCACAGAGCTCTGAGTGTTATTTATCATGGGCTCTGCTCTGTGGGTGAAAAACAGTGCGTTGCCCTACTGACATCCTCTGGGTGGGGGAGGTCTCAACTAGGTGGGCTGAAAATGAAAAAAAAGCTGATTTGGGATGATTAAAAACGGAGATCTTCGATGTTGGTTAGACAGGGAGCAGGAACGCTGCTACCAAACCCTCGGCAGGGCGCAGTTTGTGACCAGTCTGTCTCTTGTAAACATTTTGCTTCTTATTCTTTCCCAAGGGCCAGGGCTGGGGAAGGAAGCGTGGGAAAAGCAATCTTTGCATGCTGCAGAACTGGAGGTGGGGGAAGGCTCTGTGAGATGAAGTACAAACCCCGGGTTGTCTCACTGCGGCTGAAAAATTCCAAGAAGTTGGGAACAAAGGCTGTCTGTCACCTGAGCTCAGCAGTGCTGGGGCACTGCGTGTGGCAGGTCTCTGGCTGGCACCAGGAAGCAGCAGGATGTGTGGGTTTGGAGGGCTGATAGGGCAAGGCAGAGGGAAAGGGCACTGAGATAGGGCTTTGCAGCCTCAGCTGAGAATATCACAGTTTTGTGGTGTGAATTCATGCTCATTGATGTTGCTGACATGAAACCTTTGCTTTAGGATGCCAGTTCTTTAAAGGACAGCACATAGATTTACATGTTCTGCATTTTGCAAAATAATTACATAAAATGATACATAATAGTATATATAAAATAATATATTTTATATATGTAAATAATATATAAAAGCCAAGCAGCATTCTCCCTACAGGATTACCTTGTGCCAAACATTACTGGTTTTCTCTGAGTTAGCATCCCACAAGTCACTGTGAATGTGAGATGTCCCTTGAACCAGGGTTTCATGGAACAACAAAAACTGCTTTGAGGCACATTGCAGAAATAGCTGGAAGCTGAAATTCAGGAGTGGGAGGTGGTTCTGCAGAGAGCAACAGGGACCAAACCCTTGGACCAGGTGTGGGGACAGTTGCCTGCAAGAGAGGAGAAAATTCTGCTTGGAGACCTGGGCGTGAGGCACATAACTCATGGATTTCCCGTGTCTCCAGATTCGGAATGTTTCCAGTCCTGTGGAAGCATTAATAACAATACAGTGCTTGGAGTCTTGTTTTCACTAATGTCTAATCATTGTACAGACAAAACCCCAAGTTCTGAGGCCCAGTTAAAATTCTGTTGCTTTCTTAAAAAACAGATAAGCATTTACACCTGAGACATCAGAGTCCAGGGAGTGAAGAGCAGCCTGGCTGCAGGGACAAGGGCATGTGGCTCTGTTCAGAGTGAGGTGAGCAATTAATGCATTGATATGTTCAGTTTATTAAAATTTGTTTATAAATCAAGTGTAAGGATATTGTACTATCACTAACAACTTCGGCTTGGTTTTTAGAATATTTGCAGTGCTAATCCTAGGCAGCATGGGATCAGATAATGCTGTGCTATAAAAATGACTCAATATAAGATTCTGCAATAGAATAATGTACATTAAATATATATAATATAGAATGCTATAATATACCCTCTATATAACATTATATATGTAAGTATATATAATTACTCATTCGTAGTTTTGAATGTATATGTAGATTTAATAGTTTAGATACAAAGACAATGTTTTAAGTTTGTAACAAAAAGGAAAAATAACACCTCTTTTTTTCTAAGCAAACATATCCCAGGTTTCACCTTTCTGCTACTAACCAAAGGAATTGGCAGTGATATAACTACTGCTAAACATTTTATCTGGTTAGAAAACTCATTGTCAGCAGTGCCTGGTGATGAACTATCCTGTTGTTCCTAATCTGGAGACATGTAGGATTTTCTACAGCCATTTTTATAATTGTTCCATTTTTTCATGGCCAGATCTGATTACTAAAACAAATATTAACTGGGCTATATTTTCCTTATTAAAAAAAAAGGCTTTTCATAAAGCAGAAAAGGCACAATTATTTACAAAAACATTTTTATTGAGTATAAAAGCACATGAGCATCCTTCAAGTTGTACGCCTAAAGCTTTTCCATGGCATGTAGGGTCAGGAGAGGGGATAAACACAAAAGCCTTGGCTGCAAGATTCCAAAACTGTTTGTCTTTTTTCCTACAAACCTGGGATCTGCTTCATCTTGGAATTTTTTAATTTATTTTTTTAATAATAAGAATGTTTCTTTGTGCTCCCATAATATGACAAATATTTGGAAATCAGTTTATGCAGAAGAGGGTTGTTTTATTTCTGTAGCTGTATTTAGAGAAACTATGGAGTAAAGCCCTTCTCTGCTTATATCTTTATGTTAGCAGAAAAGCCAGGAATGAAGGAGCAGCCTGTTGCTTTGGCAATGCTTGACGAAAGATCTCCCTTTCCCATGGCTTCAGAGAGTTGGAGACAAGGTCACACTGGTCTGAGGAAAGCCAAATAGCTTCTGGAAATCCCAAATCAGACTGACACTGCAAGATCTGTCCATCATTCAAATTTACATGAAGTCACCTTCCACGTTGCTTTCACTGATGTTTAGGATTTTTTTTTCGTTTGGTATTGGCTGGTTTCTGTGAAATCCAACAGCTCTGCTCCTCTAAGCTCTAGCCAAGAAAATCTCCACCGTTTTTGTCCTCTATGCAGAACCTAATTTCATAGAAACTCTGAACATTGATTCAGATAAAATATGTAGATACAGAATCTCCTTAAAGCAGTCTTCTATGAAGTCTGCAGGAAGGCAGCTGACTGCAACTAGACTGGGCCACAGAAAGAAACCTGGAACAAGGTGCACTTACCAACTGCCAGACAGTGGACAATATTTCTATTCTTTGTTGGCTTAGGAGACTGCATTTTTGGCTCCTTAAAGCAATTCTGGACAAGAAACTATTTGCTGGATCTTCCTGTACAATTTTTATTTTTTTTTTCTGTTTTAATCATAATAAATTTTAAAATGTAGAAAGTCAAAAGGATTGTTATCTGTTCTTTGTGAGACTCTATGGGAAAGCTCAAAGTTGAAGCAAGGTGGCAGAACCTGTACTTGCTTCAGGGGGAAGCAGGGTTATTGCCATGACAATATAGAAAGGTTTACCTTTGTACCCATTTTCCTATTTTCCTTAGGAATGGTGGGATAAAAATTTTGGTAAGGAATTGAAGTCCAGCAGCTTAAATACCCACATATTTCTAGCACAAAATCTGGGCAATTTGCTTTTCCCTTCCTGCTAGTTTGTATCCTGCTGCCTTTTGAAATGGAAACTCTTCTGACCCTGTAACCCCCGTGTTACTCAGAATAAAACTCTTTTTAATTGTGTTTTGGAGGAGCATGCAGGGAGCTCCAACACTACTAATCAGCTTTGCTGGTCTGGGTCTGTATCGCCAGGATTCATGTCGGCAGAATAACTTGATATAATTGCGGCTCTGCATCGCTGATTTAATGCTGAAGAACTTTAAAGGTGCAGGTCTCCATTTCTGTCTGTGTGTTAGTACAGTGTGAGAGCAGCTCCTGGGCACTCCTGGCTACTTGGGGCCTTGCAGAAGGATGTGGGCAGGCCCTGCTGCTCTTTGGGGTGCCTGGAGGGGATCCCTCAGTGTCAGAGGGAGTGACTACCTGCTGGGCAGGGCTTGGTGGGCATAGCATTAATAAAGTGACACAGGTTTTGGAAGAGATCTTTCATACCTGTTTGTTTGCAATGTATCATGTGGAAATGCAGGTCAGCTTTAGTGCCTGGCACCTCTTCATATAATTAAAAACAAAAAAACTCAAAACTCTTCTAGCTAGAGTCTGAGTTTTGTACTGGCCAGAAGCAGGTCTGGATGGATTTAAAGCAGACCTGTTATTAAGCTATTTGACAGCATCTACAGCTTTGGTTTGAAGAACAGAACAGCTGCCTTACAGTGCCAGAACTTCAACACTGGATAACACTGAAATATCCTCCTTGACATGAGGAAGGTGGAAGTGGATCAATGTAAACTCCTGCCCTGCAGAAGCTCTCCCTTGGGCAGACCCTCACCTGTTTTACCCCTATTCCTTACATTGTTTGCCTTCTCACCTTCCTCAGAAAACACAAACACTGCTTCAGGCTTTTATATTTGGTATAACTGTGTTTAGCACCGAGTCTTGCCCCAGCCACAGTCTGTCCTAATTTGTTTATAGCTCTGCTAATGTGCCTCTGTTTGGCCTTCAGCATTCCAGGAGTAGGAATGCCACTTAACCCTAGTCCTGGCTCCCTGATCCTGTTTGATCAGGAACAGTGATGCAGTAACTGCCTCAGACAAATGACTGTACTGAGAACACTCCCAATTGCCCTGTAATAAACCCGCCATCCTCCCTGAAAGCCACGATGAGGATAGAGAGGGCAACAATGATTGGAAGGTCAACAAGTTTGAGCACTGACAGAATAAAAGAAAAAATTATAATGCCGAGGCCATGATGCTGAGACTGTCCTGTGTCTAATTCGTGGCATGGCTGGAGCCCAGGTGTCTCAGCACAAGTGCCCCACTGCCCTGGTCCCATGGGAGAGGATGCAGGATCCCAGCATCCCTTCAGCCTCTGCGTGGCTGAGCACTCACAGGCTCGAGTGCTGGAGGTCAGTCATGGAAAGAGATCAGAATTCACCAAGCGTCCCAGTGCAAGGCACTCGGTGGGGAAAGGAGCTCTGTGCTGTGCCATTGACATTTCCAGTGTCTGACTTCCTTGTCCAGGCTGAATATATCTGGTGTGGCTCCCATCGGCACTGGTGGGAGGGTACACCTGGCTCTTGCTGGGCTTGAATCAGAATTTGGCTCTTAATAAGGTGCAAGGAGAAACTTTCCAGTGTGCTCTCAAAGAGGTAGGAAAATGAAAACATTTTACAACTGATGTTTTCTGTCATCTTGCCTGTTTATTCCAAAAGGCACAGTGGCAGAGCTGCCTCTGGGCCTCTTCCCACTGCCCCAGATCTGGGAGAATGATCTGTTAGAAGAAGCCAGCTTGTTTGATTTGTTTTGGCTAAACAACTTATTTACTGGGGTAAAAAAACCCAAACTTTGGGGAGCTTTTGTCATCCTACAATTTTGCTGACCCTATGCTCTTTTAAGTCATGAGTATTTTAAAAGGCCACTTGCCTTTTGGATTTGAGACCATTCAAATTCCAATACTTTTAGTTGTGGGGTTGTTTATTTTTTTTCTGTTGTAAACCAACAAATCAATACGTGTGTTCACACAATAGTCCTGTGTTACCTGTATGTTTCCAAGACCTGAAGTCCAAACAAAGACTGAGATGCTGGATGGATGTCCCAGGGAAACAGCCTACATGGGCTTTGAAGGATTTAATTAATGCCATTAAATCTTTGGGCTTTTTTATTATTATCATTTTTTACACAGACAGATTACTTAAAACCTTGATCTGCTTTGTTTTATTACCACAAAGCATGCACAAAACACTATCATCATCTCTAAATGTAAGGTGTTTACCCAGATGAGTTTCAGACAACCTGCTGTACAAACTGCACTTTGGGAAGTTCCATGGGGGAGATAGTTCCTGCAGAGAAATGGTTGGAGTGATCAGAGCTCCTCCAGCAGGAACTGGGGAAACCTGTGCAAGGCTGGGTCAGGTACAGCTTAGACCTGGCACACCAGCAGCCCCTTTCAGCTGGAATGGAGCACATCCACACTTCTGTTTGCACATGCAGAGACCAATTTGCTTCTGTAGATGAATATCCAAGTCTGGGTGATTATAACAGAGAAGTGAGATCCCTTGTTACTGTCATGTTCTTACCACAACAGTGATAAGCCAAGATGTGATTTCCTGACCATGGTTGAAACCATGTTCCTGTGGCATTGCTCTTAAGAAATCCTTTCTGAATTATTTTCATTCGAAGGTGTCCTGCAAACCTTGCTGACACCTCCTTAAACATGTCCACAGATAACTCACAGTTCCTTGTCAGATGATTCCCCCCATAAGTACATCTCTCTTGGGGCAGGATAGAAGCAACTATGTTCTGAAGTCACAGAATCACAGTCTGGATTGGGTTGGAAGGAACATTTATAGATGATCTAGTCCAGCCCCTCTGCCATGGGCAGGGACACCTTCCACCAGACCAGGTTGCTCCAAACCCCATTCAACCTGGCCTTGGACACTTCCAGGGATCCAGGGACAGCCACAGCTTCTCTGGGCTACCTGTGCCAGGGCCTCACCACCCTCATCACCACCACACTTGGTCTGCTCAAAAGCTGCAGAGTTACTCTGGTAATTCCAGATACTTTCCCATCAGATACAACTGAAGGAGAGAGAGTAGCTGCCAGGGAATTGTGACTACATGGTGTGAAAACCCTCCAGGTCAGTTGGAAAACGATGTGTCACACACTTTTTGCTTTGATGCATGAGCCAGGAAGAATGCAAAGATAAAGATCAGTGGCAAAGTGTGGTTAGGTGGATCAATAAACCACAGGATGTTTCAGATTCTGGAGCAGTAAGAAACAGTGGGAGGCATTGGAAGGTGTGTATTTGCACAGAGACCAGCACCTGGGGACTGCTCATGTGCCTCAACACAGGTATGAAACCGAGAAGTAGGAAACAGTAGCAGGAAGCCCCAAATTGAATTGGCAGTGCCATAGAAATAGTGAGGAAGGAAAGCAAATGAGGCCCCAGCACATCCTTAAACTTGCTGTGCAGGAGATGGCTGTCTGCTGAGGCTTTGCCCTTTGCTGTGCGGGATGACTGAAGTGAAAAAGGCTCTTACCCTAAAATACTATATTCCTTCCCTCTTCTGTGTTCCTATATTAGGTCTGACTGATGTTTTAACTTCGAACAGATGTCTCTAATGGGGAATAAATGGTGATTCATTTCTGCATTGGCCAGGTTCATGTTCTGGCTGTAGATGGAAGGACACACGTTGCTTCCTGTGAAGGTATCAGAGACTCAGTCTGTGACTCATTAAATCGAGGGTGGCCAGTGCCCAGATTTGATACATGTAACCATTGTATTCCCTGAAAGTTACCAGCCCTTCCAGGGAGGAGGAAACCATGCTGGGATGTTCTTCGGCTTTGTGAGAGGTGACTGGTACCCAGGAGCATTTACACCTGCCAGCCTTTGCTAGGCTGCCCGTGCTCTGGGGAACAGGTGACAGTTCAAAGAAGAGGCTCTGGAATTTTGTGACTTTCACTGTAAGTTTAAGAGAATATAATTTTAGAGTAAAAGAGTCACTGCCTCTGCATTCAACTGGATTCAGAACGACACTGACACAGCCACAAAAGGCCCAGAGCTGTTGGAGTGTGGCCTGTGATGTGGTTGATTCATAGCAGCTGAACTGAGGACTTAATCTCTAAGAGCTCTTTAGTGAAACCAAAACTTACCAGAACAGAAATCTCCCAGCCCTTTCAAGCAGAGTCCTGGTTAAACTGCTCAGTAGTTTGTGAATTGAGGTGATTGTACTAATTGGATGTTGGACAGAGGCTGATTGAGTTCACGTCTCATGGCTGGAAATCATGAGCAGTGAAAGCTTAATTCACCATACCATTACAGCAGTACCTCCTGTGTCAGGAGCCACTGGCCTTTGTTCGTGCCAGACTCAAATTCATGTCTGAACAGACAGTGCTTGCAACAGCCTGAGATCCAGATGCTTCTTTCAAGGCCAAGATGATGGAGGATCTGGGCTTTGATATGTGTGAGCTGAGCAGTTCTGCTTGGTGTGAGAGCAGGGACTGTCATATGTGTCCTCTGAACAAGTGTCTTGTACTGGAAGGGACTGAGGCGGAGGTGGGGAGTGTTCTCTGATCACTTCTCCAATACAGCACTCTGGTCACCCAGATCACAGGATGTAACATTCTTATTCTCTGCCTCAGCTCCTCTGACCAAGGGGCTCCCTCCAGCTGGGGCTTCAGCACAAGTGTCAGCTCACCGTGATCAAAGTAGTGCACCTGGGACATCTCCAGGAGCTGCCCTTCTCTAGGAAACTCTGGGATTATACTGATCTGAATCCTAAAAGCCCC